TTGGCAGGAGGCGGTCTCTCAGGTACCCAGGTCCGATGCCATGCAGGGCTTTATAAGTAACGACTAGCACCTTTACCTTCCAGTTTCAGCCCTCGGGGCTCGCAAAGATCAGTCTTGTGTTCGGCCAAAGGGTGGGGGGCGGTGGATGGGAGGGGCAATGTGAGCAGGGCAGCCTTGTGGTCCCACCTGGGCAGGATTAATTGCTTCGGTGGGTCATATCTGGCCCGTGGGCCGCAGTTTGAGGACCCCTGCTTTACAGCTTTGAAAGTACGTTAGGAGCGTTAAATTAGAATATACACAATCCAACTATTTATTGAACTCATCAACCCAAAAGTCATCATAAAAGAGTTCTAACAAATAATATACTTTTAAAAAATAGCATCAAGACAATGAGTTTAAGTATGTGTTATATCACTGGCTTGGACATTGCAAGAAAGTAGAATGTAGATGTTATCACTACCTTTCCTGTTTAAGCACATCTCAAAGTTTATTCCAAAACAAACAAGTATCCTAAATAAAATCCTTTATGTAATGATTTTACTACCCTCTCTGACATTAGAAATATTATCTACACAATTGTCCAATGCATGTTTGGTATTGTTGTTGCATACTAGGAGCAACATAACTCCTGCACCATTCTCCATTCAAATTGGAACAACATAAATATTTATATAGTAGTAATTCATTTCTATACCATTTTTCCTAAACCCGTTCAGAGATCCGCTGATCGTTGTGCTCATCAAATCACATTTACATCTACCTGTCTTCTTCCCTGAATTATATTCCCCAAACTACTGCCTATTTAGCTGTTAGGTTTTTATGCATCTTCCAATGATTAATTCAATCACTGTCAGAAATGTCTGTTCTTTTTATCTGCAAAGGGCACAAGCGTTAGCAGGTGAGAAAAGTGGAACCCACAATACTACATTTAAATCAATCCATCTATCCATCAAGCAATACAATCTGGACATAAATTCCTCTCCACGTAATTATGTGTAGTTATGTAAATATTCCTCTCCAAATAGTTTTGTCACCACTTTACAAAAAAGGTGTTGAAAGTTTGGAAAAGGTGCGAAGAAGAGCAACTAGGATGATTAAAGGCCTGGAGACTAAAACATATGAAGAATGGTTGCAGGAATTAGGTATGTCTAGTCTAGAAAAAAGAAGGACTGGGCAGGACATGATAGCAGTCTTCCA